GAGATGGAAATCCATCATGATCTAAGTGACATTCCAACACTTGTAGTCCTTACAGCCAGCTTCCCTAGGAAAGGATCCCCAGTTGGGTTTTAATTCCATCGGGTACTGGTTTCGGCCGGCTCCCAGTGGAGGTCCTGGGGCCAGAAGCAGCTAAGCCAGGGATGTGAAGGGGATCACATTAGATCAATCAGGAGGAAACCTCACACGGGAGTCTTAAGATTGGCAGCGGTCCTGGTGACTTAGGTGGCTGTCCTGTGCCCAAGACAGACAACTTCGTCTAAGGACGGAATACAGAGAGGGCATCAAGTTTCTGGGTCTTATTACCATCCTGGCCAGGGTACTACCAGCCAAAAGGCAGGCTTTCTCCTCCCCATAAGGTAGCCACGGGCTAGAGGATTGCAGCCTGAGCAATCAGCATGAAAGTGTTCCAGTAAGACCACACTCCTTGAAGAGCCTCTGGAATGAGAGTAAAGGAAGAGGAGAGAAAGTATTCATACCAGGTTTGCACCGTGGCTCAGAAGCTAGATGAGACTAGACTCAAAGCCCCATGTTCCAGGAGCCGTATGATGTAGGCAAGACATTAGGGTTCGAAGCCGACGGCCAAGAAAGAATTCTTGAGATGTCTTTGGTGCAAAAAGGTGACTTTATTAAAGCACGGGGACAGGACCCATAGGCAGGAAGAGCAGCACCAGGGTCTTGAGGAGTGGCCCATTATATATTTTCAAGTTGGGAGGGGGTTAGGGATAGCGTAAGTCTCTAAGGAATTTTGGAAGCAAGGTTTCCAGGACCTTGAAGGGGCTAGCTATTGTTGGGAAAGGGTCATTTATTATTAAGAAAACGTTAGTCATGAGACCCTTCAGATGTATATCAGTGGGCCATGTTCTTGGGGGATGACTGCCAACATATATCTTGGGGTTGGGGGTTGGTAGAGATAAAGAAAGTTTCCAAAAGAATTTGTTAAATATGTTAAAATAGACTTACAAGATCCTGGGCAGGAGTGGGGTGCATGGGGGGGTGTCAGGCTAAGATTGCCTTTTGCCCTTAGCAAGGTATTAGGATCGAGGCAGCTGAGCTCCTGGAGGAATGTCATTCTGCCTGTTGTAAGGACTTGTCAGTGGGCTGTGAGTGATAAGGAAATGTAATAGTTTTTCTTCTTCCTTGGTTTCCCACATCAGTTGTCATACTTCTTAAAATTTTTTTGAGTTTTATTTATTTAAGTAATCTCTGCACCTGACATGGTGCTCAAATTCATGACTCCAAGATCAAGTCACATGCTCTTCCGACTGAGCCAGCCAGGCACCCCTTTTTATTTTTGAAATCTTGGTAAAATACACATAAGATTCTCATCTTAACCATTTGAAAGTATACAGTTCAGTGGCATTAAGAACATCCACACTGTTGTGCAATGACCAACTCTATCCACCTCCAGGTACTTTCTGCCTCTATAAACTGGACTACTCTAGGTACCTCATTTATGTGGAAACATACAGTATTTGTTTTTTTGTGATTGGCTTATTTCGGTTAGTGTAGGGTCATCAAGGTTCATCCATGTTATGGCACACGTCAGAATTTCCTTCCTTTTTAAGGCTGAATAATATTCTGAGTATATATACACATGACATCTTGCTCACTCTTTCATTTGTCAATGGACACCTGGGTTGTTTCTACCTTTTGGCTATTGTGAATCATTTTTTTTATTTTTATTTTTTTAAAGATTTTATTTATTTATTTGAGAGAGAATGAGAGAGCACATGAGGGGGGGAGTCAGAGGGAGGAGCAGACTCCCCGCTGAGCGGGGAGCCCGACGCGGGACTCGATCCTGGGACTCCAGGATCATGACCTGAGCCGAAGGCAGTCGCTTAACCAACTGAGCCACCCAGGCGCCCTTTTATTTTTATTTTTTTTTTAAAGATTTTATGTGAATCATTTTTTTAAAAAGATTTTATTTATTTGTTTGAGAGACAGAGAGCAAGGAAGGAGCAGAAGGAGAGAGACAAGCAGACTCCCTGCTGAATGCAGAGCCCAACGTGGGGCTCAGTCCCACAACCGTGCGGTCATGACCTGAGCCAAAATCAAGAGCCACCTAGGCGCCTCAATTGTGGATCATTTTTTGAGGAATTGTCATACTGTTTTCCACAGCATCTGCACCATTTTCTATTCCCACCAACAAGGGTTCCAATTTCTCCAAATCCTCAGTGACAGTTATTTGTTTAAATAGTAGCAGGGGCTGGAGGTGGAATGGAGTGGGGTTGAGGATAGGGTACAAATGTCCAGTTATAAGATGAATGAATCCTGGGGATCTGATGTACAGCATGGCAATTATAAGTAATAATACTGTACTAGGGGCTCCTGACTGACTCAGTTAGTGGAGCATGGGACTCTTAATTTCAGGGTCTGAGTTCGAGCCCTACACTGGGTTATTTAAAAAAAATAGACTTACAAGATCCTGGGCAGGAGTGGG